TACAAAATAGATTGAAATTGTATTTGAAATACAAAATACATTGAATAGTTTTTTTTAAATACAAAATACAAAATACTTTTATGTGTTCCGCTGAAATACAAAATACAAAATACAAATTGTATTTCAAATACTGTATTTCAAATATAAGTATTTGAAATATGCCCAGCCCTGTCTATAATGAATCATTAATTACAGAGAAGTTTCAGATTGAGATGACAATTGTTATAGCTGGAGGGGTGGAGTCACGTATATTACGTCTCTTTATACGAAAATCTGATTTTTTTACATTCAAAACGAGCGTCATTCTGCAGAAGTACGTTCGCCACAGGAATGGCCGTTGCTTCGTTAGTAGTACAGTACTGCTCGGCAAGATTTAAAAGAACTCGGCTTAACTTTGATTTCTCCTTTCCCCTCCAGCTCTAATAACAATTGTCAATTTGAAACTTCTCTGTGATTAATGTCTCGTTATATAGTATCATTTGGCCCACAGTTCAGTCCCAAAATCGAGTGTCCGTTTTTTGGAGCCCTCTTAAAATTCGATAATAAATTTTGATTCTCCCCCCTCCCCTCCCTCTAGTTCTAATAACAAATGTCGTCTCAACTTGAAACTTCTCTGTAATTAATATCTCATTATTTGGTACATTTGGCACACAGTTTAATTCCAAAATTGTAGGCCCAAAAAACGGACGATTTTTTGGGTCACTCTTTCCTTGTTATCCTTTTTTTTTTAATTTGATTGCCGCTTACTCGTCCTTTGAAGATGAAAACCTCTCTACGGATGATGCTGATGGCGTCGTAATTCATGTCGCACTTGTCGGGCACGTCGTCCCGCTGCGGCGGGGTCCATCGATGTCTAAACCTCGGCGTAGGCCTCATCGTTGTCGTCGTCGTCGTCGTAGTTGTCGACCATGTCGTGTGATGCCGATGGGGTTTGTGCGGCCTATAGTCGGGTTTCTGCGGATAACGACCCGGTTGCCGAGGTCTGCCGTCGTCCGGATAGTGATTGGGCCTAGTGGGCCTCGTCCTCCAAGGCCTATACGTCGTTGTCGTCGTCGTTGTCGGGGTTGGCGGCGGTTGCTCCGCTGGCGGTGGACCACCTGGTATGTTGCCCCACAGTTTACCTTCGGGAGACCCTGAGAAATTATAATTATTTTGTTCGTTTATTTAGGTTCTTTGTTCTCTGTCCTTCATGTAATTTATAAGTCTGTTAAAATTAACATTCGAAAGCACGCGAGATTAATCTATTTAAAATAATTGGCAATTAAAAACAAACCGATCAAGTTATTCTCATAAATTCACTTGTAAATGTAATAATCTCATAAATTCTCATAAATTCACTTGTAAATGTAATAATCTTATAAATCCCCCCTATATCTTATCGCAAAATCATAATGCGACATATATCTAAAAATCAATATAACGCAATGACGCAAAAATTCGTTAGCAAGCGCAAAATCAAGAGCGCGAGAGAAGAGGATCTCCGTTTTTTCTGGCGATTTTTCCCAGGCTAGTATTCGGACGATATACGGTCTGAAAATACGACCGGCATTATCAATGCGAATACATCGATGTATTCGAGTCCGAATCCAGCGGAGAACGCGAGCACGCAAATACGCTAATGCGAGAGGAGGCAAAAAGAGGCTGATTTCTTTTTCGCTCTTTACATCCGCGCGCAATGAATTCATCCCGTCGTCTTTCAGGTCGGTCGACTCTTTCCCTCGTGAAAAGAGATTCCGGGGGGGGAGGGGGAAGAGGGGCGGTCGATATCGAACAATTTGTAACGAGCCGTGTCTGTAAAAAGGAGCATGCAGTCCGCTGTGGAGAGAAAGGAGGAGACAAACTCGTCGTTCGAACATTGTACTTGCATAATTGCGGCGATATTACGCGGCGTAATATTTTAATTGTCAGATGCACCGTCTTCTTTTTCGCGCATCACTATTATAAGGAAAATATTGATATAACAGATACACGTATAATAAAAATCATTCCAATTTATCAAAGCTGCCGCAAATTTGATTTTATTTTATTTTATTTTTTACAACGCACAGTATCTGCATAACAGAATTGTTAAGAAAAAAAAAGCGATGCGGATACCGCTTGCTCGCTATTGGTTCGATCAAAGCGATCGAAAAATAAATAAATAAATTTTGCTTTAAGCCAATTCCTCCTGTGTTGCGATCGTCCTGGAATATCATTGATTGCCGCGATTTTAACGAGGCTATCAAAACTATTTGGGCGGGTGCTTTTTTCTTTTCCTGGCGAACCGCGCGCTTTTTCGACGAGCGTCGGGCCGGTTAAATAGAATGCGTTTGCAATTCGTCGAGGGGCTATTGACTCCCACTGATATACGAGCATTATTTTACTTTACGTGATTGACAATGGAGAGGAAGTACGGCGGAAAAAGAGAGAGAAAGCAAAAGGAGGGAAAGGGTTTTTAAAATGCCGCGCGGCAGAGGTTTTGCGCCACGGAACTTTCGATCTACTCCCGGAAAATTGAATTTCTCGATATTATCAATACTCATACATACAAACGTGTATTACAGTGTACGGCAATCGGTATAGATTTTTTTTATTGCCTCCATCGGATTCATAGTTTTCTTTTTCGCTTCCCGTTAACGAACAAGTTGTAACTACATCAGTTCGTGTAATCGAGCTTAAACAGCGACTCGGAATGCCGTGATAATTACGGGCATTCCAATTCGGCATTCGATTTCACGTGGATTGACGTGTATTCGATTTAACGACGACAGACAAACGCGATGCGAAAATCAAACAATATGATTGATTAGCGCTCAAAGTCCGCATTCAATCATTAAAATGAGTGTTATGCACTAACACGCAACGAGTCATGCACTTTAAGGGGGGAGCCTGGTTTAGCATGTTGAAAAATTAGATGATTTTTGGAATTTTTGTTTAGTTAAAACTGTACAAACAATCCTTTTGAACTTTATAGGGTAATTTCTTATACTATTGAACTAACAAAAAAATATTTTTTTGCCAGAAAAAAGTATTCATTATGCAAGTAATAATAACTTTTTATTTGGCGCGTCGGCGGGCGGCGCGCAATGTAGCGACGCTTGTATTTGTCTGAAATAAAAAATCCAAAAAGATTATTGTTTATCAAGAGTTTACGCATTAATTGAATCTATTTTTATTAAAGAAAATAATGCGAAATTGTGAAAATTGCGACACTTGGAAGAAAAGGTAGCGATTTTGGCAAAAATTTTTTCGTGTTTATTATGCAATAAAAATTATTTAATTAAATAATATTATTATAAACTGTGGTTGCAGTTATTAGGGAAGTATTTGTACAGATGTGTGCAAAGGCTCAAGTCAATCGGATGAATAGTTTTTGAGTTTATCTTGCACGCCGCCAAACACCATCACCGCCGAATAAATGTTATTATTACTTGCATAATAAATACTTTTTTTCTGGCAAAACAAAACATTTTTTGTTAGTTCAATAGTATAAAAAATTACCCTATAAAGTTCAAAGGATTGGTTGAATAGTTTCCTAAAAAAAAATTCCAAAAGAGTTATCTAATTTTTCAGTGTGCTAAACCAGGCTCCCTCCCCCCCCCTTAATTTCACGGCAAGAATAAGAAACGACTAAAAAAAAAACGAGTCGATCAGTCTCCCGTGGACATGTATGTACAGACGGGAACACGAATGTCTTAACACTCGAAGTTGCGCGTTATCGAGCGTGTTCCAATCAGAAACGCGTCTTCAGAGCGCGTTCCAATGAGAAACGCGTTCTTCTCTCATCGTGTAACTTCAAGTGTTAAGGCATTCATGTCCCCGTGTGTACATGGATTCGAATTCATATCGCCGGATGTACAAATAGACAATAAAGTTAGATTGTCCAACGATGTGCCCAGTGACAAGCGCAGTGTGTCATATATCTGTGTCATGTTTATATTTAAAGAAAAGTGAAAGAGATGGGAGAGAGAGAGAGAGAGATTTATACATGTAAACGCGTAAATCACACTTTGCGTTGCGTACGAGAAGGGAAACATATCGCCATCGCGCGCGGGGCGAGAGATACGTACTTCGCGATATACCAAATTGTCATCGCGACGCAATAAACTCTTTGATGACAAACACGCGCGCGGTTAAAATTTGGTTTTGTCTCGATCGCACACGATACGGCACGTACGTGTGCGTGTGCGTGTGCGTGTACGTGTGCGTGTGCGTGTGCGTGTGCGCGCGACAGGCCGTTTTATTTCGTATTTCTGCATATACGTTCTCCCCTTCCCCCCTCTCTCTCTTTCTCTCTCTGTCGATGTGTGTTACATCACGCGAGTTTGCACAAATCGCTCGTTAATTCCGCGCGGCCACGACCGGCCAGCCAGTGTACGCCCGCGGATTGACAGAATTGGCAAAATTATACGAGGTGCGTTTCTCGCGAAATCTTCCGCCATATATGTGTAACACGTGTGCGGGGGGAAGGGCAGGGGAGAGGGGAGGGGAAATGTACAGCAAATGAATTCACTCCATTTCCCTCGTGTGCGGCATCACGCGTACACGGGGGCGCGTACAAAATTTATGTTATCGATCGTTCAGGCAAAATGGCATTATGTAACTATATAAACTCATATGTCGCGGGACACCGATTAGACAGATGAAACAATGAACGCGACTCGCGCCGCAAGTATAAAGCGCGAGTTAAATATATTAGCGGGATAGGGAAACGGCGAGAGGATTAAAATCCACTTCGCAATTCGAGCGACGGGATTGAATTTTAAGTACGACTGTAATGTTATGTACACACAAAAGAAAAACGTTTCTTTACAAATGTTTAAGAATATATATATATATATATATATATTCTTATATATGTATGTATGTATGTATGTAAAGGATTCTTGTGCGAGAAAAAGTGCAAAAAATGCGATAAATGTTCTCGAATGCTCGAAAAGAGCTTTTCCTGTGCAAATTCTTTTTAAATTTTAAATATACATATGGATCGGAAGGGTGCAGCGCACGTGTGTTTTACGTTCAAGGGAATGCAGGTTTAAAGGGATTGAATTTCTCGACCCACGCGGGGTTTTTGCGAAGCAATTGGCATGTTCCGTGTGTCATTTGCATAGAAACTCACGCCGGGGAAATCGGCCGGAGGAGATTATCGAACGGTATACGGGGGGATGCGATAGCTCGCACGATACGTAGCGGCGGCGTCGCACGGCGGTTCTGCAGTCGAATGATAATTAATATTCGCCAGTGACCTACCAATTAGCGTAATCTAGACTGCGGGAGAGATAGAGGGCGGACGAGAAAGAGACAGATAGAATGAGGAAACCACCGGTTTCTGAACACCGAATCTAATCTCGACTCCCGACAGTCGATGCAATTACAATGACGCGCTCGGTAATTGCCGCTGTCTTCGCACTCTCCAATATTCTAACTATCTCTCTCTCTCTCTCTCTGTCTCTCTCGATCGAGAGAGAGAGAGAGAGAGAGAGAGAGAGAACCTTCTTTATCGACCACGAGCGATCTTTTCGTCATGCCAAGTAATTTCCGATTATAATAAAGAAGTTAGCCACGCTCCCCCCCCCCCTCCGTCGCCGTTTGCCTCAAACTTTATTACGTTAATTTACGTAAAGATAAAGCTATCTTCGCGAAACTTAGAAAAACGCAGAACGCTATTCGTAAGCCGCAGATATTAGTTTCTAAATTAGTTCAGTAAATTTTTCAGCATTTTTCGGATACTCGATCCCCAAAATTCACGATCCAAAATTCAATTCTACGTAAATCGAAATGTTCTTGTTCAATACAACAATTCTTTAATAACTTTATTTTATTTTATTTCAGTTAGGTTGAGCGGACATATGTATTACTTACGTAATTTTTAATTTAGTTTCATTCCGCGAACATTTGATATTTATAATTTTACATTATATCTCAAATTTATCTCAAAAAAAGGAAAGAGAACTACCCGCGGATTTCATTCCCGTGGCGCGGAAGCACCTTATTTTCTAAAAAGCCGCATCCATTCGAGCGAAAAATCTGAACGGCGCATTAACGCTGCAAGTGCAGCGATGAGAAGCTACGATTCCTGAAAACCGAACACGATCCAGACGTGACGACGGGTGTGGCTTGGCGCCAGTTAAAAGATAAACGAAACGCCGGAAAA